TATTTTGGGACATTGTTGTAACGAACATTGATGGGTCATTTCTGAACCTTTGTTATGCTGAACTATGTATGCTTAGTGTTACGCTGAACTGTTTGTGCTCATTTGTATGCTGAACAATTTATAGAAGTTCCCGAGCCGATCTGATTTCTGGTCAATTGTATGCTGAAATATGAATGGTCATTTTTATGCAGAATTATTTATGGACATAATTATGCTCAACAGTTATATTGTCACGTTTATCTACTGACCTATAAATGACCATGATCTACTTTTATGGTAATTAGTATGCTGAACATTTTTCTGCGGAACTGTTACATGGTCACGTGTCTCCTGATTTGTGCGGTATGCGTCTGCTGAACCATTGCAATAACAGTTATATACTGACCTATTTCCTGGTTATTTTAAATATTGTACGTCCTAAATCATAATCATTGGTGATGTACCTGTGTGTCAGTTGAATGTGGCCCTATTGACAGAAATAGTTTGCTGAAGTAAATAGGAGCAGGATTACTCACAGACTGATGTGAGACGAGAGGAGAATGTTTTGAGGATGATAGTGTTGTGAACATAACCCTACCTTGCCACCTTGTGGGCTACTGACATTTACGAGAGCTTGTCTAAATAATCATCAGGATTTTCTCCGCCGAAACTTCGACGTGTAGGAACAGTTGAATGCAACCAGAACATTTTGCCACAACCATTGTTAACAGATCTTAATCAGCGTCTCGAGAGGGTTCAATAAGTTCAAAAGGGGTTCGACATGATACCATTACCCTGCCATATTAAGGACATGTGAACTGTAGGCAGGATCTCATATAGAACAGAACTTATGCCAAAGTATACACTATTAACAACAAAAATATATTTCACTGGTATAAGAGGAAGTTAAAATGAACATAAATATGTAGATATATGTTTCCCTACAATTCATGTGGTGTTGAGTATCCACTGTATATACATGGTATGAATTTCATGTTATCTTTACATGTTAACGGAAGTCTATGTTAGGGCTTGTACCACCTGCCTATTCCCTGGCAAAGGAGTATTCATTTCATCCAGTCTCCCGTGAAGATACAGGTTTAGCATTTGAAAAACAAAACAAAACCGTAATGGCATTTTATCTACATAGAGGAGCTGGGAAGAATCTGCCCATTATTTGTGAAGCGTCGGGTGTTAATGACTAAGAATCGCTAACAACCACCAGCCATACAAGCGTCAGACATAAGTTTAAACAAACCCCTCTCAAACTCCCGTTACCTTTGGCCTTTTTGTCAGAACGCCATATAACACCCGACCCCCCCCCCCACCCACCCACCCACCCCAACACAAAAACACACACACACACACACACCGACGCTCAGGGACAACGATATTCAGTCACATGTAAGTTTAAACCAACCTCTCTCATATCCCCTTTACCTATGGCGTTTTTGTCAGAACAACACATGTATACCTCCACGCACACCGACAAAGACACACACATACACACACTCCACACACACTCAGGGGCAAAGATATGCATTCACACATAACTTTAAACCAACCTCTCTCAAACCCCCGTCACCTTTGGCCTTTTTGTGAGAACAATATACCTCCACACACACCGACGCTTGCGTACATTGATAAGCAGTCACTCATAATTGTGCATTTACAAATTGTAATTAACTATAACAGTATGACAGAACATCGTCCACAACTGCTGCGTCGCACTGTAAGTACGGAATACTCAAAGGGACATCTCGCGATCCCGATCTACAGAAACGAACTAAAATAATGGAGATCGCGAGAACGTCCCTCACAGTGTTCCATATTCAAGTCCCTCCAAAAGCTTTGCTGTTTCTCGCAGCAGCTGTCACCGAGAGCAACTATCTGTATGCACATAATTACAATCTACCAATAGGTCTGTGTCATTTCATATCGTATTAAGGCAATGTAACCCAAACCGAAAGCACAAGCGCCACGTGCTGAACAGTAATTCACTACCCATGTGAATAGGACGTACAACGTTCAGAATACCCCTATCACTTAACAATGAAAACGCGCCATGGTGATTTCTTATGATAAACAGACAGCCGATGTACCATTTTGGTTTACAGGCTCCTTTATCTTGACCCTTGCGTTCATGATGAATATACAATAGTTGCTGTGATGTTGTATCTGTTCATCAATTTATTCAACAAAGAGAATTCCCTTTGAAATTCGTGTTTGACGTTTAACTTGGTTTTCGTTCGAACCACTACCTAGAGTATGATTATGATAATCGGGATTATCATGTGACATTCGATGGTACATTAAGGGTAGGCAACTCTTGATTGCAGGGTATTGATTACATATCGCCGTCGGTGCGTTTTGAAAGTTAGGTGTGATAGCGGAATTATATAATTAATAATGAGGAATGTCTACGGGGATGACTACCTTCATGGTCAAGTGGATAGATCACCTGTGCCGAGAGCGGAAGGTCAGTGGTGGGAAGCTGGTCGATGGTACTTGCTGACATAAGTAGGCAGGCACACACACACACACACACACACACGCACGCACACCACCTTAAACAATAAAGCAACAAAAGGTAAAACAAAAACAAAACCAAGCAACACAAAAAAAGAAAAGAAAAAAAGTTAAACACACAAAGAAAACCACCCCAAGCAACCAAAACAAAAGACCCAAACAAGCAGCGCCCACCACAAACAACACACACATAGAATCAAAACAAAAAGAAAACATAACAGATAAATAATCTCACAGACACACAAAAACACACAGACACGTGCATGCATTATATGTACAATAACACTGAACGCGTCGTTCATGCCAGTTTCACCTGACTTCAATTAACGGATTATGTGTTAGAAATAGTTCCAAGACAGCTGGGTGTAAGAGGCGGCTAATCAGGTCGGGATCTCTGGTCTGGTGACTCGCGATCGGTGATGTGTAATATATCCTCACACCAACGGCCGGATAGTTGCTCATGATATCAGTCACTGATGTTACTGTCATTATTAGCAGACCTTAGTCATACAGATGGAATACTGCCGAATGCGGCGTCAACGAAATCAACAACAACATACATACTTAAAACGCTTTCCTCCGACACATGCCTCTCAAGTATGCTTTCAAACAAATATTCTTAATACGTGTCACTTTTTGGGTTGACCTTGCATGTGCCAGGTTGTATTCCGTTAAATGAATTCAAATAAAAAACCGAAACGTCACAATCCTACAAACGAGAACTTGTTAAGTTTAATCATGCAATTACCTCCAACATTTGAGACAGTATAACTATTTTTTTTACAAAGGTTTTCACTGAAATTCATGGAACCTTAATAGAAGTTAGACCATGTTAAACTAAACACTTACAGTCACTGGGGTCTACATCCGACAGTTCAACGTCATCCATAATGATGGAATATGTATTATCGTTCACTTCCAAAAAAACAGGAAATGCACCCTATGGGAGACTCACAGACTCTTCGTCGATGCGCATGTAGGAGAGACACCTTTACCAGGACCTAGAGGATAAGAAACCTCGGTGTTTAAAATATGATCATAGATTTATTTCTGAATGATGTTCTTGTCATAAACATTACGTTTATTCCACGCGATATTGTCAATAAACAAGTGGTTGATAACATGAGCATCGATATCTGTCCTTAGGGTATATGACTCAGGTACCACCTGAGAGTAGATGCTCATTATACGTGCGTTTGAGACTTTGCAGTCATCAAGGTTATAATGTTGACTCGTCCCTTTCAGTGAGTGAGTTTAGTTTTAAGCTGTTTTTAGCAATATTCCAGCAATATCACCAAAAATGGGGAACACCAGAAATGGGCTTCACACATTGTACCCATATAGGGAATCGAACCGGCTCTTCGGCGCGACGAGCGAACGCTTTAACTACAAGGCTACCCCACCGCCCCCGTCCCTTTGAGATGAGTATAGAATTATTAACATTCCCAAGGCAATAACAAAACCCTAAAATCGGCAATTAATCATGTGTGGGAATCGGTAATATAAATTGTCATATTTTGACCGAAAAAATGATAGAATATCTTTAACGGAAAATATTAGATTGCAAAAAACCTTACTTTAAAATCTGTGTCAGACCAACCCGACCGGTACACTGCTTGTTAAAGGGATACAAGACTGTCTCAACTGGCCAACACGTTTGTTCATTCGTTCAAACATCAATTGCCTGTGTATGTCTACGATGTTATTATTTTAACAATTTCCAATTAACACAATTAAAGGGACATACTTTCACTAATTACAACAAATAGACCTGTAATGAAAACGGCCCCAGTACCACGGAGAGTTGGAAAGAACCCATATACCATATACTCTGAATTAATGAAAATTACTGTTGCACCACATGTAACTTATTAGCAAACTAATGATTTACGTTATCAACGACGTCATTTTAAGTAGTTTTACTTTGATTATCATAGTTTTTCATTACTTACAAATAACCTTCTAACGTAAGTACTTTAAGGGATCACCAGTCCAGTTCAACCTACAAGGTTATTTGCAGCACTAATTACATTTAGGCTTCGGAGATATAATTTCTCAACGGACTTTGGTTTGTTCTATATTTCGAACGAACCACGCGTCCACGTTTCCAGTAATAATCTGTTTGGAGTCATTTGGGTTGCGCTTATACAAAAGATTGTTTTTCACCCACGGAGATTGGGTAACTAATTCCCTATCCAGTGCCGTGAACAGTGCTAATGCAATCATGGTACCTCTTTGAGCAGAGCTTTTCAGCCCAACATGTTAGATAATCGTTGTGTTTTGGGGATGCAACATGGAACAATATATTGATCAGCTGTAGAAGTGTCTACAGCCATGTGACGAGAACACTATAAGCGGAATCTTGCAAACACGAAACACGTTATAGTTCTGCAGTCATCTCACTCAATCCGATAAGAAGACATTCGCCAGTGGCGTTCTTAACCTTTATCGCCATGTCAAGTATTTGCCTCACTCCACTTTTGTTTTTTCAGGAATGGCGTCTGACAGACGTATATTTAGCCAGGAAGTGCATCAGAATGGCGTAGAAGAATAGGTCTCTTCAGATAGTGTGTGTTCCAGAGTGTGTCTTCCACCGAGAAGCGTCTCCCATTGTCAGGATATGTATCAAATGCAAGGATTCCACTAGCCCTTCTGGAACCTTCTGGGTGATACCTTAGCGGTATCACAACTCCATCTGAACCATGCGGCTTCCAAAGAAATTCCTTTCATGGATAACAGAGTTTATATTTTTGTTATTGTGCGTGTTAATGTGTTGTATTGTCTCCGGAGAGCATCCTCATGTGCAACTTCATGCACTGATACCAAGTCACTTTCACTGGTCACAGAGCTTTCAAAGGGTTCTGGTCTCCAAGTTGATGTCCTACCGTCGGGACAGCAGATACAGAGGAGTCTTCAGGGCCATTAATCTACATACTAATGTGACGTTCCTCAAGAAGGATGATCCTAAGGAGATTCTGAATTCATTCTGTGATTATGTGTTTCCATACAATACTACAGCAATAATTCACGTCAACAACCCGTTGTCATTCAGGAGACGGACTGCTGCTAGTCACTATGTGCTAGAAATTGCTTCATATTTTGGTATACCTGTGATATCGTGGGATCCAGAGTACCCAGGATCTTTGCACGTAAGTAGATGCTTTTATCCGTTGTCATTGGATTCTCTTTACGTAGTTAAACGATGATCTCACGGTATGAAATGACACCTTGTTATCACGAATTCTAAGTTTAAGAAAACATTTTGTCACAAAACTTTGCTTTTCAGACACACACAAGTAAATCATTTTTATGTCATCATTGGATTCACGTTTATAACTATGAACTTATGATATGAAATGATGTCTTGTTATCACGAATTCTAAGTTTAAGAAACATTTTGCACAAAGTCGTACGTTTCAGACACAAAAAATGTAGACGAGGTGTTTTATCTGTCGTCATTGGATTTTCTTTACTAACTTTAAACTTATGATAAGGAATGACACATTGTCTCATATTCTAAGTTAGACACTTGTTGCTACAGATTCTAAGTTCGAGAATTGGATTGGTCACAATTGGAATCTCTTTTACAAACGTTGACCTTATGATGTAAAGAGACATTTCTTAGCTCAGATTCCAAGTTCGAGAAAAACATTTTAACACCAGACATCACATTTCGGACAACGTACCAAAGATACATGGTTTGTCACAGAAGCTACACAGTATATAACCACGGGGCCAACCTTTTGATATGCTAGGACATTTTGTCAGAAGACCTGTCCCGAAAATGGCGGTGAAAAGTAATTTGTCCACAAGTTTACGTACACATTACACCTTTCACAGGATATGCGGTATCTTCTGACCTGATGTGCTACGGATTTCGAAACCGCTGACTGGCTCTTCCAATAAATACTTGTGTATGTCTCGAGTCGTTGACTGAATACATATCTCAAGAAACATTTCGCAGCTCCATCCCAAATATTAAATGGTTGATGCCTGCTCGTTTTATAGAGATCCTATTTGCATTACATAGTATAAGTAACAGATTTTCTGTTCTATTGTTGAAGGCTAGGGATATTGTCACCACAGGTTTAGTGGTATATAATTGGAAAGCACTAAGCACTTTCTTATACCATACACAGAAACATGTCAGGTTCAAACAAGTGGTAATTCTAATGCGTTCTCGATGTATGTTGTTGTTATCAATGATCACGGGGATAAAATATCAATAAATGGAAACACTTGCTTTTACATTTGAAGGTTATTTCTCTAGAGAATAGGTTACAACAATCTTAAAGGTCCCTAACGATTTTACGATCGGAGTTGTTTGTTTTGCCTCTGTTAAACGTCCAACCCAGCGATATACATGTACGAAAGTTATAACGATGGCCTGTACATTATTGAGTCTGGAGGCCAGACTATCCAGTAATTGGTGTCATGAGGAACGTCCCGTGATGTTTAGGTACGATAACATGCAATGAACCAAGTCAGTGCGTTGACCACAAGATCCATTAAGTCGCCTCTTGCGATCAGCAGGAGATCCTTTGGGAGCTTTTCCAAATCGGATCCTCACACGTCCCAATGAGTGGTATTTTTCAGTATATACTCAAGTCTCTTTGGCGTCCTCCTGTCCAGATAGCTGTTTGTGTATGTACGTCCAGTTGGTTGGTGTTAATAATTCTGTGACTGGACAGTAGATAACAGCATGGACAGCATCATATCTGTAACTAATGGCTGTGATACTTGGGGTTCGAGGACTTCGTTACGTCTATGACTGGTTGTAATTGATTCCGATTGCAAGAACGACGTCATATTCATAACGTCCGTGTTGCAAGAACGGCGACATATCCATAGCTAACTGACACTTAGGTTGCCCGAACAGCTATAAATCGCCTTATGTGATGCTCTGGTAGCAAATTCTATATCATGTCCATATCTGACAGTAGCTGACTTACTTAGGTCCTTCAAACGACGTCCTGTCCATAAGACTGACTAACGACACCACGTCATAGTCACGTCATAGTCATAACTGACTGTAACTGATACCACGACTAACTGTACGCCTGCGTCATAGTCATAAACTGTAACTGATAACTGATACCACGTCATAGTCGTCATATAACTGACTGTATCCGACACCACGTCATAACTGACTGTAACTAATACCACGCGTCATAGTCATAACTGACTAACTGATGATACCACGTCTGATAGTCAGTCATAACTGACTGTAACCGACACCACGTCGTCATAGTCATAGTCATAACTGACTGTAACTGACTGTAACTGTAACTGACTGATACCACGTCATAGTCATAACTGACTGTAACTGATACCATCATAGTCATAACTAACTGTCATAGCCATACCTCGCTGTAGCTGATGCTCGTGTTGCTAAGTCTACATCATATCAAAGCTGACAGGAACTGACACTCACGTAGAACAATTTCATATCCATAGCTGACCATAACCAACACACAGAGGTTGCAAGCAGAACGTCATATTCATATCTACAATAGATGACTATAGCTGATGTATATAGCGTTTGCTACACAAACAGCAGATTTTGATATGTGCAACAGCTGTCTCCCCAGTACGTATACACCTACAGGTCGTTTGTGGCATTGTGCTTGAAATGTATACTCTCAGGCCACAAAGAATAGCTCCGTTATCTGACACCTTCAGCAGCGATCGCGAACTGTTACATGATCGTGTTTTCCTTTCTTCTTGCTCCCCGTGCAGTGCTATCCAATGTCACAACCAGGATTACTTAGCCACCATATATTCTCCCTGTGTGGCAATGTCTGGTGCGTTCAGGTTCACTCCCCCAGAACTGAAGAAGAAAATCACTAAGTCAGCACTATATCATCAGTGGAACTACTTGTTTGCTTTCACGCCATGCCCGAAATTACAGTGTGGTAAAGATATATGTACGGAGGTTATGTAAGTTAGTGCTTGTTTTGTCAGAGTTGTTCCATTTTCACGCGTTACTAAGTTAGAAACGTGTTAATGGATGCTGAACAAGATGGATACCTTTCAACGGGACTCCAGACAAGCCACATATTTGTAGGGGGACTTCAGGCAGGATTTCTATTGTTTCTAGGATCTCGGACAAGCTGGATTCGTGTTACTGGGATTCTAGAAAAGCCAGATAATTGTTACTGGAATCCCAGACAAACAGGATGTTTGTTACTGGGATTCCAGATAAGCTAGATTCTTGTTTCTGGGATTCCAGAATAACTAGATACTTGTTACTGGGATTCCAGAAAAGCAAGATACTTGTTACTAGGATCCCAGACAAGCTGTACACCCAGAAACGCTAGATTCGTGTTACTATAATCTCAGACAAGCCGTGTTCTTGTTACTAGGATCCCAGACAAGCCGTATTCTTGTTACTAGGACCCCAGACAAGCCGTATTCTTGTTCCTAGGATCCCAGACAAGCCGTATTCTTGTTACTAGGATCCCAGACAAGCCGTATTCTTGTTACTAGGATCCCAGAAAAGCTAAATTGTTGTTACTAGGATCCCGACAAACTATATTTTTGTTACTAGGGTGCCGGAAAAACTAGATCGTTATTACTTAGATCCCAGACAAGCTGTAATTCTTTCCCAGAAACGTTAGATTTTTGTTACTGAGGTCCCAGACAAACTGTATTCGTATACCTGGGATCCTAGAAAAGTTAGATTGTTTTTACTAGAATCCCAGGCAAGCTGTATTCGTGCTACTAAGATGCCTGAAAAACTAGATCTTTGTTACATAGATCCCAGACAAACTGAAATTCTATCCCAGAAAAGTTAGATTTGTGTTACTGGGATCCAAGAAAAGTTAGATTGTTGTTACTAGGATCCCAAACAAGCTTGACCCTTGTTACTGGAATCCCTTGGAAGCTATACAGTGAAAGAAATGTGTATCTGTTTCACAAGCAGGGCAAAGCAAAGACCTCTTGCGATATCTCTGTCACACTGGAGGCCATATAGATTTTGTGTTCACGATTGAGTAAGTAATGTTCCCGATCGAAATATATTGGCATCATCTTTGAAATTTTATCATGCCCACAATCGTAGTCTGTTTCTTCACTCTTACTATGACTGTCTGTTGTGTATCTCGGGGCGCCATTCTAAATCTGCAAGGGTGTGTCCCTTCAGCATGGTTGCCTGCCAGAATCATGGAATTGGTTTCGCAAAAGGAGTATGAGGCCTTCATCACACTGTGATATGACTTAACAATGCTTCTAAAAGCAGCATTATTTCGCAAAATACATCCAAGGTGATTGTTCTGTTTGTGTTTAAAGCGACGGTGGCTCATCACTCTGAAGATCAGGGTTTCGATTCTCCATACTGTTTGTGTCCTCTGTCGACACGTGACCGGTTAAGACCTCAATCGGTGCTGCACTCACTCGTGATCCATCATTTTCAAAAACCGTTGGAGCGGTGGGGTAGCCTAGTGGTTAAAGTGTTGGCTCGTCACGCCGAAGACCAGGGTTCGAATCCCCACATGGGTACAATGTGTGAAGCCCATTTCTTGTGATGTTGCTGGAACATTGCTAAAAGCGGCGTAAAACCAAAACTCAGTCAGTCAGTCAAAAACCGTTAATGCTAACTGCTCATTGGTTACGCTGAGTAGTTAGGTTTCATTAAGATTTTCATTTTGACTCGACTTTTTCTAAATCGAGGAACACAATCATTCAATTTAGTCTGCCCGAAGCTCTCAAGGAACTAACCGTTGCTAATGAATGTACAATTCAGCGTTATCCCTGTATCGATTTCATTGAAAGAACAAAACCTATACATGTATGATAGTGGGAGAATTGGGAGGAATCAAATTTAAAATTCAATTATTGTGCGATAGTAGCCTGCCCGCAACATATGTGCATGTTTGATAACTATTGTATTTGGGACGAGAGCACGATGTTTAGAAACGAGTTCTATTTTGATACATATGTTATGCAATGTTATAGTCTCAAATCAATACAGAGAAATATCAACTATATACCATGGCTGCTTCAAGTTTGAAGGGGCGGTGGGGTAGCCTAGTGGTTAAAGCGTTCGCTCGTCACACCGAAGACCCGGGGTCGATTCTCACATGGGCACAATGTGTGAAGCCCATTTCTGGTGTCCACCGCTGTGATATTGCTGGAATAGTGCCAAAAG